TTTTTTTTAAGTGTTTCAATGTGTCTGATAACCAAGCTAATAAAATCTCCTATATAATCCTCAGCCTACACAATTCTATAAGTAACTCACCATCCCTTTTAAATGAGAAAATTGGACTTTGCGCGGTTAGACTTTGCCATTGTTAGACTACTACATAGAAAAATCAAAACCAAACCCACTGCCATTGAGTTGATTCTGACTCAAGTGAGTCTAGATAGGGGTTCCAGGGTGTGTTTGAACTGCTGACTTTGCTGGTTAAGGGCCCAGTTCACTACCTGCTACATCACCAGGGCTACTAATACTTAGAAAGAATTCAAACTTGGGTCTTTGTATGAAGGGCTCACCTACCAGAGCTTTCTGCCTCCTTTCAGGAAGGAAGGAAGAAGATCAAAGAGTAATGATTCTGCCCGTTGCGTTTCCTTCTGTCTCCTCTTTCGCATAATAGGGATGCCTCAATGACTACCTGGTAAGTTGATTTACAAATAACCTTTAAATGAATGAATGAAAAGTTGAGATAATAGATCATTCTTTTTTAAAAATCATTTTATTGGGGGTTCATACAGCTCTTATCACAATACATACATACATACATCGTGTCAAGCACATTTGTACATTTGTGGCCATCATCATTTTCAAAACATTTTCTTTCTACTTGAGCCCTTGATATCAGTTTCTCATTTTTACTTCCATCCCTCCCTAACGAACCCTCGATAATTTATAAATCATTATATATTTTTTAATGTCATATACTGACCAATGTCTCCTGTCACTCACTTTTCTGCTGTGTGTCCCCCTGGGAGAGAGTTATATGTAGATCATTGTGATTGGTTCCCCCTTTCTGCCCCCAACCTTCCTCTTACCTTCCTGGTATCACTACTCTGATTTTTGGTCCTGAGGGTTTTATCTGTCCTGGATTCCCTGTGTTTCCAGCTCTTATCTGTACCCATGTACATGATCTGATGTAGCTGGATTTGTAAAGTAGACTTGAGGTCATGATAGTTGTGGGGAGGAAGCATTAAGGAACTAGAGGAA